AGGGATGAAGGACGATCTCCGGTTGATCTGCAAATAACCAACAATATCTCGACTGATTTTTTTGGTGCAGAAAAGGACATCATCTATAAAGTACAATGATCTGTGTGTGTGCTTCTTTATCTAGAGTTCTCCTGGAGGCTCTTTTTACCCTAACACCACTTTTAGTTGTTTACTATGCTTGTTTACCGAAATTTCATTAATTGTTGTTTGTTAAAACATAACCAAACTATGCCGTTTCCTAGTTACTTGGAAGCATTTAAAAAACACCCGCTATGTAACTACCCCATCAATGCTTCGTAAATTTATAATTTGACGATACCTAAAAAATAAAGAAAAAAATGGTAAACTAGGGTTGTAAATCACACATATCAAAATCGAGCAAATAATTTACCCAATTATTTAAATGCGACATTATTACTCTTACAAACACCGCACGGTAAACTAGAGCCGCCAGTCCAGGTATGGCTCAATGTTCAACTTATAAGTTAGAACTATCATTTATTATTTAATTGTCTAAGTGACAAAGTTTAAGGCTGCTGATATGATTTTCTTAGTGTGCTGTTGTAATCTTGTTTTCATAGGTACTTTGTACTTACACAGTACTGAAATCTCCACTGTAGTTGAAGTTGAAACCATATTTGGTTGAGATGATACTTTTAACGTGAAGCTTCCCATCTCCGATCTTTTCACTCCGAGGAGAGTGATTGATGTGTAACTATTGGTAATGTTCGCGTGTAAGCGACCTTGGTACGAGTTTGCCATAAACAATGCGCTGAGAAATTTGTTCATCACTACATTACTACCTATTTGAAAGGTCGTTGAAAGATATGATTCACTTTCGCCAAATGTATAGCCCCATTCAAGGGTAATGTTGTCACCTTCCACAACAAGAAATGGGTTTTCAGGTTCTTTAGTGAAATTCGTTGCACCTGATGATACAAACAATGAAAATTTACCTTATTATAAATATAACTTAACGTTGAACTAATACACACATTTCGCTGTACAACTTCACGTTATGACATAGCTAGCAAATTTAGGAACCCATATTCAAAAGCGCGAGCGTGCTTCATAGTCTTGCTGTGCACGCTATTGACGTACAATTGTTGTTTTTAGTTTGGGAATCAGTTTTTGAACTGATTTACTTTCAATAGCGCTTGTGTTTGTTAAAATACAATTCAGTTTCGATTTATTGCACGCTGTCTTTCTCAAAAGTTTTCCGGATTGTGAGAAGACAACTTCCAAAGTACTGCGTTAACAATGTTATAAAACAGTTGGTTCATACGTCAGCTGTGCGTTTATGGGATATGAAGCACTTGAGAAGTTTCTCATGTGCTCTCCAAACTTTCCGCGTTCCATATGTCAATGAACACACGCTGAGAAAGGAACCAATTGTTAATTCTTAGGACTAAAGGAAAAGTAACATCAGAATAAAGTTGCTTAAATACTGTGAAAATCTTAAAACAGTGTTAGCATTTCATGGGAATATTTCGACCTCCTTTTAAAATTACCTTTAAGTGTCCGCATTTAGTTCTCTTTTTTTAGTACTATTTTCATTTGAATCATAAACTGAATTATGCATGCATTTTCATTGATTATCACCTAGGCTCTACTGGGGGATAGACGCATGGATGTCGTCATAATAAACAGCTTTTGCTTGTTCATTTTTAGCGACAAATAGATGCCTTGTTTCCGCGCGTCAGTGTTTACTAACACATCACAAAACAAGTCAAAATGTGAAAAAAACAATAGTGACACACTTGGCTGTGCCCCGTCTGCCACTTTTTTGCTATTACCTCATTTTGACGTCACCTGTAATCAAACACGGAACAGACGCAAGTGAACATGGAATTTATTTGTTGATAACACGATAAACTGAGTCACGCACGCGTTTTGATTGGCTCCTACTAGAAGTCTACCGGAAGACAGACGCAGAGATAATGTCACCATTAAAAAGATCATTCAGCATGCTTAGCAGTTTATAGAATTTGCGGTAAGAAAAATACCACAAATGTGATTTAAGTATATCGTCGAGTTTCCGTCATTCCGCTATTCTGGCATCATACCTTAGAGAAGAATGGGTTTCGTTCTCTCACACTTATTTCCCTTCATTATGGGAGCGTTTTAGGTCACTGTGTGAAAATACAGTGCAGCCTTAGGACAAGAAACTCAACTATTTTCAGAATATGTTTTGTACTTGACGTTTCATCTTCTTTCCTCGTCCCGCAGTCTCAGTCACGATAGGCAAAAATGAATCGCTTTTGTATACAATAAATTTATTTTTATGAACGAAAATTGAACGGATTTAAAGAGCTGTTTGTCACCAAAAACGTCATTATAATTTGTAGCAGACAGGAAGCGACTGATTTAATCCACGGGGCTATCACGAGCAAACACGGAGGTCTCGAATGACGCTTTTGTAGCACAACATCTCAGATTCGTAACAGTACGCGACGAACTGGAAAAAATGGCCTCTTTCTGGTTTCGATACATCTTATGAAGCCTGGACTTACACTAGCAATGTTTTATTCCGTGGAAACCACTTTCACTTTTGAGCTGGTTTTCCATGTTTTCTATGTACTACATAAGGAACGTACATGCATTTCTCGTTGCTTTGTTTATATCTGTCTCACAGTTTATACGGTTCTCGTGATAGTTAATAGCCGCCGCTTTCTCTGTCGAGCCTCACATCACGAAAGCACGAAACACGGTTTGAAACGGCAGGGTTCCTTACAGTCGTTGTTGACATGTTCACTTCAATTCCGACACGTTCATTGACGACCATAATAATCTTTCAGATTTTCAGATACGTATCCGAGCTGAATCAAACTCTCATGATCAGAAATAAACAATACATTTTGTCCAAACAGC